ATCCATTTCCCAGAGAAACTACATGCACACAGGTCCACAGTCCTTTTCTTCCAAGCAGAGATCTTAGGGACTATGACTCTTGGATTGCTTTACAAAATACTTACATCGTCTTCTTTGGTCCCCCCCCAGAAGTTTGTGCCTCCTGCGTAGCTGGGAATGTTGAGTACAGCAATTCCCTGGAGACTGGGCAAAGGGATCGGTCTCCCATCGCACTGCACAGAACAGAAGATAACATTACTCTCAGCACAGCAGGACAGCCTCTCCTGCCACAGCACTTCCTTGAAGGACAAGAAACAGCCTGCATTGTTTAATGAATCATTTATTTCAGCTATCTACAGTTTATTCTTAGAGTAAAAGAATCTATCCATCCATGTCTCACGAATCACCTCTTCTCCAAAAAGGGCACGAGGCCCAGCAACACTTTTTGCTTTATTCCTCCAAAGCCAAGAATAAAACTTCTGAAACACCTGTGCAATGTGCTGTGACAAGGACTCCTCCTGCAAACTGCCTGCTTATGCTGTAGGTTGTCCATACAAGGACAGTTCCTCTCCAGTTGGATCCATATTATAGTGTAGTTAAAATAACAGCTCTTCACTGCACCTGCTGTCTAAAATGTCACGTTTGCATGAGATACCACAGGGAGGAATCTTGTCTAGTGTAAATGCTGAGTTTGGGATAGCTAATGCTCTCCAAAAGGATTGTTTTGAGACTGCAAGTATCTTCCAGCACCAGAAACAGCCATTTTTACCTAGCTCAAGCTTGCCTAATATTGCAGGCAAGGGAAACACCTTAATGTCAGAAGTAGTATCACGATGTTAGGTCAAAGTGTCTGAGGGAAATGCAGTTACAAATCCCAGTTTCAGCAACAAAAAGGCACACTAAAATTCCTTACCTCCAGCAGGACTTTCTGTTCCAGGTTTTTATATGTTCTGTGCAGCAGCTCCTTTGTCCCTAATACTCCGTACCACATCATGTTTTTAGTACGACTTCTAAGGGGACAAAACAAGAGAAGAGAAAAGTCAACAGAACGCATTTACCTTTTCACAGGAAGCATTTACCTTTCTTATGGTTAAAAAATATATTTTTTTTTTTGAAAAAGTATCTCTCGACATCCTATAACAAAGTTCTTTCCTTCCTGACTAACAAACACTCAGATTCCCCCAACACTGGTCAGTCTCACATACAAGGTCATCAAACAGTGTTTTGGAATACTTGCACAAGTATAGCAAATATGAGGCTATACAAAGGATACTATAGTTGCCCAGCTATTCAAAGGGCCAAAAACATGGTTAGTATCAAGGACGAAATTGGCCCCCATGGCATCCAGAGAGCTGAGATGCAATTCTCTTGTAGCTAAATAATAGGCACAAGAAAAAACCCGAGCAAGATCATCAAGTAAGTAGAACCAAAGCGCTGCATCCACGCTGGTGTAGTTACTCAAAGCTCCAGCAGCCTCCACACAGCATACTGAATCACTAACAAAACAGAATTTTGCTCTTCATCACTATTTCAAGGCTCCTCAAAAGAGGATTATACAGACAAAATTGATGATATGTCTACCCACACACTTTCTCACCATTAGCTACAAAACAGCACAGAAACATAAACTGGTTTCCGTTGCTTCTGACGCTGGTCAAAGCCATAAACCCACCTGCATTTCTCTGGGTGCTCGTCACGTTTGTTGTTGAAGTCCAAAGAGATTTTTGCATCCAATCCAATTCCAAAGTAGTTGTTCATGACACATTTCTCTGTGTAACATTCACTGCCAAAGAAAAAGAACAAACTGCCATTTCTTGTGGAGGAATTCTCCCCTTGCCACAGAAACGTATCCCAAGGTCTTCACTAAGCTTACAGAAAACCATCTGTAAAAAGCCTCCCAATACATTAGGAATGCATACATAGGTGCTACCTACAGAGAACCTGACAAATGACCTCAAAAACCTCAAATACCAATCTCAGTGGCACTCCCTAAAAGCCACACGGGCCAATATGACTGAGTTTTCACTGTTAGGCAGTTTAGCACAAATGTTTTGAGAAGGATTTTACATTGCATTTCCCAGCCGTCTCCCCTACTGTGGCCTGTGCACGAGCTTTCTTTGCCATCCGTGTTGTAGGTTACTGATTCTGCCACAATTTATCTTTCACCCACTCTCACCACTGGAAACTGAAGTCATCTCAGTGTTGGGAGAAGACTGAATTGGATTTCATTCTGTTGCCAAAGGCCTAAAAACCCTCTACAAAGAATCAGATGCCTCACTGCATGCTTAACCCATAATCTGATCATCACTGGCACCCAGCATCGATCATCACTGGCACCCAGCATCTGAGAACCCATATACATATTCTGGGCTGCTGCTGCCCCCTGTTCAGCTCTCTCCAAGGAAATCTGCTTCTCAGAGCAACGAGCTGATGTTGAGGCTCATTCAGAAACACGCGGTGCCTTCACCACCCAGGGCACACTCACAGATTTTCAGGCTCGGAGTTAAAGGGATCAGCATGAATCAGTAACCGGCTGATGACAGAACTCCCAGGCAAAGACCCAGACATGCCAGCACGGATATCTGTGGGAAAAGGGAAAAGGGGAAAGAGACCATTTCAGAGACAGGACCGCATTAACTCCTCTCTTTCACTGCCCAAGGCAACAACCAAAAATACACAGCAGCTATTCTGCCCACGGGTACATCAGGGAGAAGCAGCTCCTGATTTTGCACGGAGACTCGAGGCCGTGCTGTTGTCACCCACGGCCCAGTTGGCTGCTGGACTGGGAAGTGGTGGGTGTTGCACTCACTTGGGTAGAGGATCTTTGTGTTCAGCATTGGCAAGTTGTCCCGGTTTCCTGTCTGGGGAGGAAGAGAGGCAGAGCTGCCCAGCGACAAACTTCCTTTGTTTATTAGCCTTTCGCAAGGAGACTTGGCCACTGAAAAACACAACACAAACACCACTGTTGACAAACATGGCGTGCGACAGACCACAGCACAATCCAGCAGCAACAAGTCTGGGTTAGGAATCACTCAGCAGCAAAACACTCTAGGCACCATAAACCAAACTGCTGACAGGACCAGTCTTTAAGAGTTAGAGCTGTGGCATTTGTACAGCCAGAAAAGCTCACACTTTGGAGGAACAGAAATGTCATATGCAAATATTAGGAATGGAGATGAGGAAAAGCTGGTGTCAGCAGCACAACCGAGAGGCTATTTGGCTCCCAGCTCATACGCAGCTAAGTTCCAAATGTACTTGCAGTGACAGGGATCTCTAACAAATTACTCGCTCAACACAGTTGTTAAAGCAAACTGTATTCCCTTTTCTGTCATCTGCAATGGATGGCAAGGAGCTTACAGGGAAATGTCATCAGGGAGATGACAAAACAAAAAAAAAATGGGCATCCTTATCCAAGCACTGAAAGTCAATAAACTCAGATTATTGGCTAAGAGAAAACCTCAGAATCCTAAGTTCCATGTGCTAAGGTAACAGGCCAGCCATCAAAGATGTGAAAAATGGGCTGTAGGCTTGAGCCCAGAAAGGGTGTTGGATGTGGCACCCAAAGCTAAAAACAATAATGTAGAAATTAGAGAAAAGCAGAACTTTGAAGGTGCTGCATGTAACCCTGCCGCTCCTTTCTGCCACAAAGAGAAGGGCTGTTTGCAGAGGTGTGCGCGGTGGCAGCCCCGAGTGGTACCTTTCCGCTGGCTCCTCCCTTTGCACACGCCGTAGCTGCTGCTGTGCGATGGCTGCAGGGAGGGTTTGTCCTCGTTCCGCAGCTCCTTACCCTCTTCAGGGGCCGAGAGGCTGAGGATGAAGCCCTCTTGCTCCTGGGTCTGGGCGTTCTGCTCATCCACAGCTGCATGGGGAGAGAAAATAGGTGAGTGTTTCACAGCTCCAGTAACAAGAAACACCTCCCACTGACATAAGTGAGGATACAATGATGCTCTAAAGGCCTTGACTCGTTATAAACAGGAATAACTGTCAGTTTTCCTATGCCATTTATCTCAGCTACACCCCACCCTGGAGAACTTCTGAAATGGGGCTGGCTGAGTCTCCAATTCTCTCTGCTCACATCTTTAGCACTCCAGCTGGAAATAAAAGAGCCCAGCTTTAATACTAGAGGCACTCAGGTTGAGATGTGAACTGTGCTACAGGTGGTGGCCTCCCATGTATTTGCCTCTGGACACTGCCAGAAATTCTACTCAATGAAACACTAAATGATAAATCAAACTGGATTTTTGTTTGCTCGATCTGTAGTGGGATAACAGAATGCATCATTTGAAAAGGGACACAAATAATCATGAGGGAAAAAATACTGCTGCCAAATTAAATAATAAAAACAAAGGAAAGAATCAGACCACATACTTTTGAAGAAGAAAAGCAGCTTGGAGAACTTAAATACATCTGAAACATAACTGGAGTTTGCACAAGAATCAAATGTCAGCACATGACTGAAGAAGTCAGAACCTGTCCGTCAGGTAAGCAGCAGATTTGCTCCCCGGGCAGCCCTTCTCCAGGTGCAAGTCCATGAGCCCACCCACCAGGTCACTGCTGCTCGTGGGGGATGACCCTCTTGCTCTCACCAGGACTCTGGAGTTCATCTACAGCATCCACAAGGCAAATCAACCACTGAGCCAGCACAAGCTACACTCTTCCTGCTGCATTTAAGCAAACTGGATGGGCAAATTGGACTTCACCAAGTCCCCAAGCCAGTATAAGGTATGTGGCAGCAAAGCGGGGCCAACAGCAAGGTCAGGACCTCTCCTTCATTAGCAACAACCTGTTAGCTCTGCTCATGTCAGCTCACAGCTTCTCCTCCAGGACATACAATACTACAGTTCTGGAAATCAACAACACTGCAGCGATCTATAACTTATTACATAGTTTTCTTCATAGTGCTCATTTAAGTGTGCAGGTGTGCATTGATGTCACATCTCTTGTCACATCTCTGACTTCAGCACTTTTATCTTGAGTAACATGCTGTTAAATCATTCCTTTGGTATAAGTTAAACCATACTGAGTTAATGACTAACATCTGGGGAGACTGACGCCTTTGGAAGGAAATTAAACTTTGAGCTATGGGTGTGCGTGGCTGGAGAGAGATAAGAAGGGCTGAGATGTAGGAGAGGGGGGCACCTGCCTAGGAAGTGAATGCAGGAACAGAACTGATTTGCATCAAATCAGCATTACAAATATTTTCCCAGTAACTGGGCTAGTTTAAGAGGTTCCTGCTTTTCCCCTGCCTCTGCGCTGTAGTTCACAGCCCTTTCAGTTGCAGCACCACGCTGTTTTGTTGGGCTCCACTATAAAAAGATTTCTGAAACAATCCAAGTTAAAATACTTCAAATATTTTCTTCCCAAAGCATTTTCAGACCCGTTTTACACCAAGGCCACACACACAGTCGCGCTGACACAATTGCGTGTGGGTGGGGATGGACAGGAAATAGAAATGAACAGCGTGTATGAGGACAGCACCTTCCTAAAGCAGCCCCAGGGCAGAGAACATACCTGAAATTTCAGGCTTGGTTGTGCAGCAATGTTTCAAACAGGGGGGCCTGCAGAGGTGCTACTGAGCTAGAGGCAGGCTCATGGGATAACCTTCCTCTAGCTCAGGAAAGCTCCTGTTTAGTAAAGGATTCTACTCCCCTCTGGAATAAATGGGATGTGTGTTTCTCAAGGGCATGTAACAAGCCACAAGCAGGACTCCCAGCCCGTTACCTTTTTCTGCATGCTCTATAATTTGACGGATGGCTTTTTTCAGGCTGTTGGCTCTCAACATGAGCTGTTCCCGGGGGCGAAATATCTGGGGCCGTGCAGGACACGACGAGGCCAAAGAGCGGTCGCTGGAAGAATCACAAGCACTGCCTGACCCGTCGCCATCCTCTGTCTCCTCTGCAATGGTGGGAGGAGGGTTTGGCAGAGATGAAGATGCTTGAGATTCATCGTTCAGGGTCTTCAACAGGGAGTCCAGCTTCTCCTTCAGGACAGAGCACTACAAGGCAAAGACGGTGGCTGAGCAAAACCAAGAGTGGAGCTGGTAGCCCATTCTCTTAGTGCCTGCTGAGTTGCTGCTGTCCTAGTTCTCTCAAAACAGAGCAGATTTTCCACTCAGCTGTATAAAAATGTTCAATTTCTTCAATTTACCTTCCTGGCCATGACCTCTGATTCCTCTGAGCTTTCGGTTGCTTTCTCATAAGCCTTCCCTACTCGAGCCACAAAATCCTTCACTGTCTCACAAAGCACCCTAGACAAAAAAAGGCAGGGAAAACAAAGTCACACAAGGATTGTCGCAGGACTTTCACGGTGTAACTTTCATTTAAGACCAGTTCTCTTGGAAGCACTCACTTGGCTGAGGAGATGACCACCGAGTGTTGGTCAGAAGTCAAAATTTTGGACAGATGAGCAGCCACAGAGTCTTCATAGAAGAGAATCTTCTGCACCTGGTGACATGGAGGAACAAAGTACCGGAATGCTGCTTCCCCACGCTACGACAAATGCTATGTATCCCTGGCTCTCCAGAGAGTAGCTATCACTCTGCATTTTCTTTTTGGTCTAAAAATGTTCTCTGATTCAGGGCTCAGTTACGCAATGAAGACCTGAATCTGATGAAGAAACCTATTTTGAACCTAGGAATCATCAGCATTTCAGATCTTAAAGCCTCCGATCTACCAGGAATCTAAAACACTGTGCTTTTAGGGTTCCTGTAATTACGATGTTTGAGCAACACCAGGTCATGTTAGCAGAGAAAAATCAATCGCTTTCCTGACAGATCTATCTTCCCCTGTCCTGTTCCAAAGCATCTTCCTCTCATCTCTACTATAGCAGTTGATTCCGGTAAACCCACCTCCAGCTTCCTCTATAACACTTTAATTTTAAGTCCTGGATTTAAAGTCCCAGGACTTTTGTAGCTCCTACCACATCCACATCATGGCTCAGGCTCACCCCTTTTGAACTCAACCACGGCCTTTATCTCATCCTTTCTGAGGCTTTTGCACCCCGTTCCTGCCCTCCACATCTTGCTAGGTACCTCTGAATCCTCACTGAAATCTTCAGTGACTGTAGAGGTGGAGGCCTGGCGAGGGAGTTTGGTTTCATACACCATGATGCTCCACCTGTTGAAAAGCAGCTGTCACTACAAGGCAGATGCCATCCCTTATTCAAAGGGCATAAAACCTCGAGCAGAAGAAACTACACTTTAACAAGAGTGTGATTGATAGACGGAAGCTATAAGGATTCACGGAAACCGCAGACGTTGGAACATGGGGTGACACTATGAACAAGTATCCTACAGCACAAGGAACATCTCTGTCCTCCCTTTCTCCCAGAAATACTATGGGCATTACTTGATCCAACACGACAGCTGCCAAGATATATCTCTAAAGATGAGACATGTTTTAAATGCATAAACATATATAGAATATATAAGTAAAGAATAATGGTAGAGATATTCATTTCTTCTTCCAATTTTCTTTTCTAAGTCAAACTCAAAATAAATTGCTTCAAACTTACCAAGACAGAATTTAGCTTAAAAAGAAAAGAAAAAAGAAAAAAAAAAAAAAAGCTGACAGGATTATCAGAGAAAAACAGTAACTTCATCTAGCAGGAAGTGCAGCAGAACCACCCCGTTCTCCTAGGAGGCAATTTGCACACAAGTCTCAAGCAGGGCAAGGTGTTAGCAATGGTGCTCACCTGTCCAGCATTTTGGTACTGGCTCTCTCCAGCTTCTCCAGGATCTGGGGGAGCTGGGTATCATCATCGCAGGCAGAGCCCCAGCCTAACACCCGGGCTAGGTCGTTCCCTGTTCCCAAGGGCAGCACGCCCAGCTGGCACTGCAGCACAGCAAATGAAAACAAAAATGACGTTCAAATGGGAAAACACGGGCTGCAAATAGCCAAAAGTAACATGACAGATTCCTTACAAAGATCAGAGATGTAACTAGCATCCGTGTGAGGAGAAAGCAGCTGGATGGGGAAAACAGTCAGAGAGCACACAAGCAAGAGGAAAGTTCCCTCTGCTTTTAAGCTGTTCATGGAGAGGAGTGTATTACAGCTGCCCTCTGGAGCACCTTGTTAAAAATGACCTTCCATATGGCTCCAGTTAGCCATGTAACCATCAGGTGGTGCTAGTGGCTTTTCTGTAAAATCAGCAGCGGCAGCTCCGGAACAAAACGGAAACAAATCAAAGCCCCTATTTCACCTTTACTCCAATAAAGCTTCTAGCTATTATCGGAAACAACATCATGAGAATTAAAGGGACGAGATTAGGAGCATATCCTCGTGGAAGTTTCTAAGTGTGGTCCCAGTTCCCAGAGCTCCTAAGAGGGAGCTGTGGAAGAGCACGGGGCAGAGGGAGAACTACCCTAGCGCTGCTTCTTGCAGGAAATTCTGGAGAGCTTTCAGCAGCTCCAGCCCTGGTCAAAGGACTTCTGTAGGATCACAGCCCTTCCCAAACGCTGCTGCTTCTGCTGCTCCAATCTCACATTCAGCCAAGCTCCTCGGACAGGTACCTGCTTGTGAAGATTGAGGCTATCAATTTCGGAGAGAACCCAGCCAACGCTTCCATCCCCGCCGCAAACCAGAATCCGGAAGGTGTCAAACTTCTGGAATAAGCGTAAACTAGAGAGGGGAAAGAAAAGGAAAAAAAAAAAGCAGGGGGAGAAGAGAGAAGAACAATCAACTGCTTAAGAAAAGATAAACAACTCCAATCTAGGTTATAAACATGGCAGATCTGATTAAACTAGCTCTGATTTTGCAGCGAGTACCAGCCACTGTCAGATTACAAGTGAATTCAAACTCATGATGATAAACAAGGAATTACAAATTACAATGGATCTCATTACAGAAACACGTCCCAGACAAATTCCCCTTCTACAGCAGGGCCCTTTTGTGCGAACAGCAGAGGAAACAAGCATGTGAGAGCCACTCATGCACTGAATTAATTCCCTCACGCAGATTTGTTGGGTTCAGCCTAACACCTGCAGTCAGTGCTCGGAGGGCTCCGATGTCACCACGCCGCACTCCAAGCCACGCCAATTAAAGCCAAATGTGAGCGGCGAGGACTTGGCACCGCCGCCGAGACGGACACAAACCCTCGGGACGCTGGGTCCCCTCGGAAGGCAGCACGGACGCGGGCTCTGGCCCGTCCTGCCGGCGGGCGGCCGCTCACCGGCCACCCCACGTGCTTTTCTCTACCGACTCTCTCAGAGCACAGGATGTAAAAGCAACCTCTCCTTAAGCCCTCTGAAAATATGCTCCTTTCTGCCTGCTTTTATTTCATTTTGGTCTACATTTGTGCTTGTTTTTATTACCTAAACAGTATTTGCTATAACATACGAAACCCTATTTCTTCAAGCACTGTGGACACAAGACAGACAGATACCACAAACAATGGCAACTGACGGTACAGTTTGACCAGCACAAGTTTAGAAGACAAACTATTAAGCAGCAGCCTCTACCATGTACCATTATTTACTTTTTTAAATGAATAAACAAAAAGGGCTAGTTTGGATGTGTTTGCTGCAACTCGAGAAAATAAATCTCTCTTCCCTCTTTCTTCTCTACAGTCAGTCAAAAGAGGAGGGCGAAAGGAAAAAATATTTAAAGTTTTTTGTAAACTATCCCTTAGCAAACATCCTTTGGACAGCACGCTGCAGTTTCACAGGCCAGCATTTTGCAGCACACTATGGTAAGGAGCTTCAGCAAACCGTAACGGTCACAGCTGCAGGAGTTGACGCTCCCAGATCTAGGACTCTGCACCTGGAGATCCTGCCCTTATATTTGAGTCATATCTAGAAAATTAAGAAGATTCAACTTATGCTGGCATTTATAGTAAGCAGCATTCACTCAGGAGAAAGTTACTCAAGTCTGTGAGTCACTGAGGCAGGGAAATCCCTAAGGAGCAGACAGAGAATGTTTAGGGAGCAGACTGGAGACCAGAGCAGAGGAATTTATTCCACAGCTGTCATTATTTTATCCATAGGCATTCCACTGAACTGTGGGGGGAAAAAAAGCTCGAAATGTCATCTAGCCATTTCTTGTCCCCCAAAGAGAATCAACTTCACATACTAAGTAGCAAACACACTAAGTAGTTACAAAGAAGCAATTATTCCAATTCCTCATTTTCACAACAGTCATGTGCTACCTACAACATTCGACTGCTCACTGATTAAACTGAAAGTAACACTCTAACAGCACATCAGGATGCCTACTACAAATCTGGTTGCTGACAAGTTTTCTTCTGGATTCAAGCTTTCCATGCCTGGTCTTCTTCCAGGGGCGCAGTTCTGGAGTTTCCCCCAAATCCCGCAGGCTGTTCTGCTATTGCCGCTGAACGGAAATAATCACCTTTGTCAGCAAGTTTGGTTTCAGCTAATCAATAACACTGAACACAGAGAGGAGAAACTTCTCCAACTTTTCCCTGTATCCAGTTCTCCCTGAGGAGTAGATTCCTTGTTTTATTTGAGGACAGACTGAGACGGGCTTATAATCAGATTGCCTGTGTTTTTCTGGTACTTTCAAGGAGCATATGTCTCCACAGATTAGCTGCTTACCCAAGGTGAGGTCCTCCGTTCATGAGGTCAAAGACCTGGGCTGGATTCAGTAGCTGTTTGAATCTTCGTAGAAACTTTACTCCCTGGTTGTCTCCACTTTTTGAGTTGACGAAGACCAACAAAGGGCTTGTGCAAGAGGGGGGACAAGTAGCTTTCCAGAAACCTGTGTTGGGCAAAAGGAGGAAGGGATGTAGAAAAGGAACCAGGAGACGTGAGGCTGCCCACGGGGATGGGGTGAGAAAAGAGAAACCGCCCCACAAAGCCATAAAGTTAATAACATCCCTGTGCTTCTGACACAGGGTAGATGGCAAACGTGTACAGCCCCGAATCCAGCATGACCCACACCTCACGCTGCCAAATGTCACACTTATCTCCCAGCAGTTTGCCAAAATGTGCAGCTTTTCCAATCTTCCCAAACTGCTTCTGCAATGTGCTTGTTCATGTTGAATGTAAATAGCTTCAGCTCCGCAAATGCTGATGGTAGAGGGTAAGAAACTGGATGCAAAAGTAAAGCACCAGCCCATCATCATACTTCAGTAAGATCTTCCAATTTGGAATTTCAGTGGCACCAAAAGCAGAATTTTCCGTTGATAGAAGGTGGCATTAACAGTGTTTGTGGGAAGAACAGTGACTGAGGGGAAGAGAGAACAAGCACAACTTCCAAGGGATACTTACCATCTGAATCAATGCTGTTGAGAGCAGTAGGAGGGATAACAGACACTTTACACAGCCCAAGAGGGCACTTAGTTGGCAACAACTCTTTACAGGTTGTGTGTACCTGAAATAAGAGAAACAAAAATCAGTTTAACCCTTTCGGGCACTGCTGGACAGCTCAGAAACCCACCCAACGAGAGGTTCAAAAGAGCAAAAAACAAAGAGAAGGAGAACCCAAACAAGTGTCAAGCAATACAGTTATTTTAAAGAAAAGATCTAACAAGAGTCTTTTACTAATTTCCTGCTCTCTTTCCATTACTGTATGTTTCTTATGCTGTAAGAATTTGAGAGACTAGTACTTTGAGTGACGAGAGGATCAGATAACAGATCATGTGGCTTTAAGAGCCTTCAGGCACTCTGCTTTCAAAATCATAGCCTAAATTGAGACATCAAAAATAAAAACAAGACCAAAACAAAAAGCTGAGAATTCAAGAGAACATGAAAGTAAAAAACAGAGCATGAGGAACACAAGGGGTAAGAGAAAGAAGGAACAGGTAATAAAGCAATTCTCAAAAAGTAAACACAAAGTTGGGCATTTCGTTCATTTCTGTTCCATAAAGACTGCAAGGGACTGGGCTGCCTGGGGTTTTGAGGTCTTGGGTTTCTTGTCCCACAATATAAACTCACATGTTGTGATTCTTCCCTTATTAAACTTACAGACAACTGAATATAGAGCAAGATCTGTATCTTGCCTGAAATGATTAGGCAAGAGAAAAGCATTGCAGTAGGGAGGAAAAGGGTCATTACGAAAATAGCTTAATATTTTTATCATCTTTTTTGCAGTGTCTTTTCAACTTGTAGAAATGACAAATAGTGTCTCCTTAGAATACAACATCTCCCATGCCTGAGGCATTGATTCAGATATAGTGTGATTAAATTCTTCCATGAAAGCTCACTGTCAAAGGAAAAGGAGCTCGTGAGGAAGACAGATACTTGTTTCAAGTCTTACTTCCACATCATAGTGATACTTCTCAGCACAAATAAAGAAAGAGCAATTAAAAGAATACACCCCAGAGCTGATCAAGGACTGTCCTTTTACTGCACCGAGCGGGCTCGCCGGGCTCACCATGGCTTTGCACCAGAGGCAGCGCCAGTCCTGCAGGCGCAGGACGCTGCCGCAGGTTTTGTCACACACGGTGCACTTGGCGCTCACGGGCAGGTTTCCTTCCAGCCACTGATGGGGCATCGAGATCTGCGAACGGCACAGAGGGAGACAACCAGTGTGGCCCTTCCGGAGAGCGGGGCAGAGGGCACAGCATGTACCGTGGCCCTGAGCCACGCAGAGAGGCGAGTCCTCCCGTGCACTGCTTGAAAACAGCAAAGGTAATTTCTGGAAAACACCAAAGGATCTCCCGGGCATTTTACATCAAGCTGAAACACAAAGGGACCAGGGGACTTACCCAAAGCTATGCACGTAGCCCACAGCAGAACCTGGACGTGCCTAAGACATCCCCTAAGATAACATTTGCACCACTTTACTCATTTTTCTTCTGCTGAAAACCCCTGGTCCATTGCTCTGCAGGTGTCTCTTGCTATTACGGAAACCTCAGCAGTCTGCTGGCACCATTTACAGTCTCATTTTCTGACAGTAAATACCTTTCCTTTCTCACTAGCAAACACAGGCAGAATCTGCTCTGTGTACAGTGCAGAAAGCTGGTACAGAGCATGTGCCAGTGCTCCCACATCAAGATAAGGTTAGAAGAGTTGAGACTAATGCCTACCCCATCTTCATCCTCGATGATATCCTTCCCGATAGAGGCCAGAGTTGTCCACTTGCAGTTATTGGTTGCCCGCACAGCACAGCGCTTGTGGGCTTTAAACTTGCACACTAGAGGGAAGAAAAGAATATATTAATCCCATCTCAGAACATGCACCGTGGAGGTCTGTGCAGAAGTGTTCCCAAGCAGCCACATTTGGCTCCAAAAGAAAGCCCGGGCACGCACTGCACTGCCAAAACCATCAACTCTGAGCACACTGCGTAAGTTGAGCTAGGAGTTGCCTCCTCACTTTCACCAGTTGCTTGATAAGTTGAGCTAGGTATTAAATCTTGCCTCCTCACTTTCACCAGTTGCTTGTACACAGCTTAGTTATCACCTTGTTAAATTTGACAGGATTTATACAGTCATATGCTCCTGCAGCCTTTTACACAGTGTGGGTGTAACCTCATTCACACTAGAAGTATGAGCTGTGAGTAGGCAGGCACGTCTGCTATGCTCAAGTTGAGCAAGAATAATCTCCTGACATTCAAACATTTAACAGGGATGTTTTTATAACCAGGAATATCCTTAAGAAAAGGAATATTCTTACATTCCCACCTTATATTCCTGTGTTGCAAGGCTACAGCCTTTGGAGCAGGGATGGTAGAAGCAAATGTGTGCCAGATGCTGCTATTGCCTCTGCTAAAGGGGAAGCAACCTACATAGAGGAGCAGTTGAGGTCAGTGATGCTCCAACTCATGGCAGTATGAGAACAACATCCTTTCTTTTTACAAAATGCCAAGGACATGATCCACAGGAAAATTCTCCGTGAAGCCGAAAGAGGTTCAGCAACAAAGGGATTCAGGATCAGGCCTTGAAAAGATCTCGTTTCGTACACAGCTTTCCAAAGCTTTTAGGCAGCACTTTCTATTACAACTTTCTGCAGACTGTTAATAACATTCCTCTTAAATCATCTCTGGAACGTGGCACCGAGCTATGGAGATGATGCTCCCAAAACAGGGGCCGAAAAGCCAAGCCAGCGTTACCTTCACACGAGAGCCCGTGCGAGGTGACTCCAGACAACGCCTCCCGACACACGTTGCAGTACGTCGGCCGAGCGTGCGAGCAGGCGTACCAGTTATGCATCCCTGAGAAATGGTCCATGCTGTACTGGGTAGACTAGCAAATGGAAAGTTATATATATATTAGCATATATATAGGCAATATATAGTAATATAGAGAGTAACAGTAGTATATATAGCAATATAGTAGCATAGATACTACTATGTATAATAGTACAGATAGTAATATAGTAGTATAGATAGTAATATAGAGTAATACAGTTAGTATATTAGAGCAAAATCTACAGCAGAGACACAAGAGTTTTTTATTCCTTAAAACTAAGGCAGTCAGAAAAGGCAGAAACAGACAGTTCTTCACTAGGGAAGAGCAGTGCAAAAGAGCAAGTTTTCCTTTTACCTCAAAGTGTTCGCGGTTCTGTACAGTCCTCAGTGCTGCAATCCAATCCTCCATCTCTTTCCTGTTATCAGCACAAAGAATGAGCTTCCGACATGGGGTGATAATCTGAAGGGGAAGAGAAAATTAAGAGCCTGTGTTCTGGGCATGTCAGCAAGACGTGGTGAGAGGACACGTTACTACTTGCCTAACCCAGCGAAGCTCCTTTGAGAGGCAATGAGCTGCAGCAGAGGTCATTTGCACTGTTCAACCAGATTTCTTTTATATCATAACCCAGCTTAATTCCCTTGCTAAATTTACAGAACCGCAGAGATTTGATCTCTCATTCCCAACATCAAACTGAGTTAGAAAATGTCTCTGAATACCCAAAGACGAGCACAGCACAGAAATGAGAAGGGTGATTCCCATCCAACTGACTTAAATTAGACCGATATGGAAGTGGTTGCAAGATCCGGATAAGAGAAGCTGCATTAAGGTTAAGCACCATTAACAAAAAATAAAAATCCCTTCTGTGTCAACTCTAATAACTTCCAGCTGCTCAGGGTGTCTCTCCCATTTGCTGCACCATCTGAAGCACCAGGTTACCACAAACTCGGACCGCGTCGGGTTCCCGCGGCCCGTGCAGCTCTCACCACGGCAATCAGAGCCCCATAACCCCACGTTTTGTTAATGAACACGAGGAACCACCTGAGCACCTGGCCCCCACTACCCACCACTTGCCGGTCTGCTCTGCACTTCTCTCCTTCTGATTCAGAAAACAGATTAAAAATAAACACCCCCGAAGCTGAACATCCTGTTGATGTTCCCGTGTCTCACGGCGTGCCCTAAGAAACGTGCGCGTCATGTCAACCAGAAAGACACAGGGTGCAGTTCGGCTTCCAGTTCTGCAAAGTTCACGACATGTTCATTTTACAGGACAGATCGCAGCACCCATCTGCAGCGACACAAATGTCATTCCAGCACCTAGCAAGAAGCGCTACAGACAATGCACATGCCTAAGAGCTAGATAAGTTTTTAAAGCAAAGAGGGAGCAAGAAGCACAGATCCGGTGTGCACCATCCAACACTGAGCTAAGTGATCAGAGCGACCAGCTGAAAACAAACAGAAATAAATATTTACAATTTTGTAAATTGTCCCTCTCCACTGAAATTTCCTTTAACCCCCATTCTGACAAAATGTGTTTGCAAAGGAGGAAAGCACAGGAGCCTTCCTTTTCGCCTGGGAAAGATGGTAGGGTTAGATGTATTTAGAGCCTTCCTTTTCGCCTGGGAAAGGGAAAGATGGTAGGGTTAGATGTATTTTCATCAGAAACTTAGCAAGCTAAGATAAGAAGGGCTACACTACAGACAGGCCTTCAGGGAGTATGAAAATGGTTCTTAGAGGAGAAACACTATTACCTACTCTTGTTGCCAGGAGCAGACTCATGGCGAGGCTACTGTCTCACGTCAGAAAGGCCATTTTTGCCATTTCCAGAAGAAGACACAACCGTCTTCCCCCGAAACCCTTTTGGCAAACGTGGCCTGCAGCAAGCACCGTCCAGCTATTTATTCTGTTCTGGCTGCAGCTTTTGACTAACATCCTGGAACGGCGTATTCCGCAGGATGACGACGCACTAGGTGAAGTAGCATTTCCTTTTATTTGTGCTAAATTTACCAAACAGTAATGTCATCCAGTGACCTCTTGTTCTCATGTAAAAGGAGGGCACAAAAACAACAGTCTGATTGCTTTGGAGCTAAAATGGGGGGGATGCTTAACATTTATTTAGAATGTCATACATTTCTGGCCTGCTTGAGGGCTGGCAGACCTCTGAGTGCTCCTGCCCTGAAACAGCTCAGAAGTTTATCAAGATATGAACAATTCTATAAATTAAAAGTGCTTGCTCTTCCTAAAAAGGCGTTATTAAAAACTTGCATATTTGGTGCTTTCTGGGTGCAGCCTCCAGATTTGGACCCTCGGAAGGAACTGGATGCCCAAAATCTCCCTCCCAGCTGAGCTCCGAGCTCAGCACACGCCTGAGACCCGACGCTGCCGGGCACAAGAGCTCAACACTCACGGGAAAAAGAAGCTGCAAATTATCCAATCAACCCCAAAGAGCCACGAGGATGGACGGGACCAGCAGGAAGCTTTAAAGACATTTCAAACACTCGCACAGCTTTAATGATGAACTCCTCACAAAACAGATTCTGTGGGACTCGCAGTGACAAACAACTACCAGCCCAGATGCTTCTTTGCAGACACTTAAATGCCCTCTCAAGTCCAGTGAAGAAGCTCTCAGTTTTCAAACCTCTAAACCATCCACAAAAGCTGTGCAGATACTGATAATCCCCAGCCCTTCTCAGAAATTTAGCCTCACCTCCCTTGGCTCTTCTCTGTACAGAACATGCCCTCTTACCAGGCTGCTAATCCCTTTTCCCAAAACTGGTGCCACTTCCGGACGCATACGTTGTTGCTAACGGGTCAACACAGCCCCTGTCCAAAACTAACACCAAACTTATTGACATTTAGGATCAGGCCAGCTGGCAAACAACAGAGCCAACCGAGGAAAAATTCTCATTTCACATGCTAAAAATGGACTGGATGTCCCTGGATGTCCTTCCCCAGCAAACAGCTGTGAATAATTGGATTAGAAAGGCAGCTCCCAAAAAAGACGCCTTGTATTAGACCAACTCTTTAAAAGAAATCTTGGCCCTCTGGTGTTCTCCTCTTCTGAGCAACCTTCTTCCACCCCTCAGTGGGAGAATAAGCCTCCTTCCCTGCTCTTGCTGCCATCAAAGGCAAAGCTACTTCTCTGCTTACTTCCTCCTCCTGAATTTTGGGGCTGCCCAGAAACTTCTCAGCAAAAATGTGACAGCTTGGCCCAACATGCAGAGAGGCCGTTCGTTATCAGAGTGGATCTGGTGACCGCAGTGACCACAAGAGACACAAAAACAAGTTAAGATCACAGTGGCCCAATCACTGAGCCGGCTGAAAACACACTGGGAGTGGAAAGGGGCACGAAACTCTGCTAAATATAGTTCTTCTGATGTGACACATTTCTCAAAGCAGCCCAAAGCAGGAGAATGAGAACACCTGCTCATCTCAACTACTTCCTTTTACTCACATCCTGTTCAAACATAAGGTTATGTTCAAAGGCGGTAGCCCCAGAGCCCTCCAAGACATCCTGGAATATCTCTGACACTTTGTGATTTGGGTAGGAGGACAGCAGGCTTCAAAAGACCAAGGAACTGCAACTAGAAAGAATGAAAGAGCCAACAGGGTTAGATGGCGTTACTAGTGCAGGGAAAAACTTCAGCTTGATCACACAGGGCACAGGCAGGGAAAATGTCCACTGACTGTAGCTAACTACTCAATGGACTTCTGTATGTTGGAGCAAAGTCTTGGTTTTTCAAGAAATCCAAAACTCAGAGAGGAAAATTGGATGAGACTACAATGAGGACCAGCCTTTTATCTACTTTGGCTCCAGTTCCAGTAACTGGTAGTTAAACAAACAGCAGCAAAGGTAAGAATGCCCCATCCATGTTCAGCATCTGCAAGATCCCTATGCGAACAAGGCCACCGTGTGTTTCAAACATGTGATTGCTAAACGTGCAGAGGACAAAACGCTCCCCAGCGCAAGCGCGTGGCCCGAGCAAGTGTTGCTCCCTCAGCATAACTACCAAATCAAAAGGCAAAATAAGGCTTTGAGAAAGGGAACGGAGAGGAAAATGGAAGTCCAAGTTTCAGACGCAAACCAATCTTTCGTGCTTGGAATTTCAAGCCAGCGTCATTGATGTCAGCTTCTGAAGCAACCTGGAGCCGAGCATGAGGACGGCAAAGCCCAGGACAGCCAAACGGTGGGATTTTAGCAGGAGCCTAGTTTGGAAGGAAGAGGAAACATTAAGAAGCACCAATGCCCAGGCTCAGAGAGCAGCGGAGCCTTGCTGTCCTCCACGGACACCCCGCGTCTGCGGTGCGGTTCGGCTGTCACCCCGCTCTGGCAGCGAGTTTGTGCTGGTAACTTATGGCTGAGATCAGCTAGAGCTCCCGAGAACCAGCGTGTCACAGAGCACCTACAAATGCCAATACTCCCCGCACTTGCGCCAACTGTTTTTAGTCCAAAAATGGACGTTTTCTTCAAAGAGGTTGAAGAGGAAAGAGGTTTTCATGCAAGACTACAGGAATGCTCTAGTTTTATATATATTTTTATGATGCAAGATTAGAGAAACCGTCCTCTCCATCAAATGAAAATAAATGGTTGATGTTCTCATCATTGTGCCAAATCCTGCTTTTTTGGTTTGTCTGTTCTTTAATTCCAAGATTTTCACAGATGCTGCAGATGCCTGTACCTTTGGCCATCCCATACCTGATATTTAACCCTTACTTCCACATGGTTCTTTTACTTAAGTTTCAATCTGTAAAATGCAGGACAGCTCAATTCTACAGAAAAATAGGTAGGTCACAGTCTTTTTAAGAACCATATATATGTTATTAGATGGATTTATTCAGTGATACATACCTCATTTGCTAGGTGCACCTTCTCTGAGCACTGCCACGCACTGCTGTGACACTCTGCCCACAGACAGAGCTCAGCTCCTGTCGCTCCTCCATCCGGGCTTTCTCCCAGTCTCTCCCTTCCCGATGCAGCAGTGGGAAAGCTCACCAGAAGGAGCGTTCCCTGGGAAAATGATCATCTCTCCTACCAGGGTCACATTCCTCCACGCTTCTGGAAACTCTGTTCCTAAACAAGGCACATTCTTGTTCTTGGCAATCGGTAAGAAAAACACAGGCAAGGGGAGATTCTAAGACTTCTGCAGCCGGTTAATTCACTGTCAAAACCTAGAATACGCAGGATGGTCCCTGCCACGGTTAACAGGTACAAAATCGGACAGCTCTGGTAATTCATGTGTATTCATCACTCAAGATGTATGGCAGGGGAGCACCAAATGGGAACAGACAGGGCTGCTCTTCCAGGTGCCAAAGCATCTTAACAGAGCTCGTTACCAGCTCTGCTTCCACTCTGTGCAGCGGATGCACATGCATCCTTTCTCCACCTGTTTTCCAAAGGATGCAGTCTGGTCCGGAAAAGGGCTCCCAAACAGAGCTGCACTATTCAGTAAGTGCTGCACAAC